GCCCGCTGCCAATCAAATTGTCCCGGTGGGCCTTGATCCCGGCCCGGGAGTTCGGCCGGGCCGTCTATACCACGCCGCCCCATGGCGGACTGCGGAAGATGATATCCGCCTTTGCAGGGGGAGGGGGGGGGGGGGGGGGGGGGAGATGGGGAGGAGGCAACGGCGGCCCGGGGCGCCACGGAAGGAAGACAGCAGAACGCACCAAGCCCGATCGACAAAGAGCGGACCCGTCGGCATAATATACATCACATGTAGGCTTGGCAGGGCCAGCAGGTAGAGCCCTCCGTCCGAGGTGAGCACCGCCAGGCAATAGCCGGACTCCAGGGACAAAGGCGGACAGGCCAGGGCTCCAGGCCGGGAACCGCCTGGCGGAGGGGCTTCGGCCGCGGTCGCCGGGGCCGCCGGAACGGCCCCGGACGCCGCGTGCATGGCCGCCACTTCGGCAGCCGAGGGGAATCGCGAGCGCGGGATCGGGGTCCCGCCCGCGAGCGCCGTCACAAGTGGCACCTGCAGGATGTCCGCCCGGAGGAAGGTCAGCTTCTCGGCACCGGGAGCCCGGCCCGGCAGCGCGTCGGCCGACAGACAGGCGAAGTCCGCGTCGGCCGGGAAGTGGCCAGTTCGCCGGAGAAGCGCATCCAGCGACAGGCCGCCGCTCAGACCGGAGCCCCCGGCCACCGGCTGGCCGAGCAGCACACGCACATGGGTGGTGCTCACGCAGACGGTGATCTGCCGGCCATCCGGCATGTATGGCGAGCCGGGCGCCGGGTCATCGCAAAACCGCCGGAGGATGGACACCGGCAGGGTGGACACCGTGCTATTCGGCGGCACGGCCGGCCCGACCACCGGGGCCAGGAACCGGTCTGGCGTGAATTGCGACTGCGGTGCCACGGCATCCGGCCGTGAGGCCACCAGCAGGGACCCAACAAACACCAGGGCCGCCACATCGCCGGACAGGGCCACCGGTGGCGGGGCCCGGGGAGTGACCGGACCGCCAGGCCCGGGCTGCGCACCGCCGGCGGCCGGAGAGGCATGCGCGCCGCCTCCAGGTCCGGCGGCCCCGACAGGAGTCGGCGATGTCGGCGGGGACAGGCGCTCTGCCCCGGGAACCGACAGGGAGGACACTGTGCTCGGCCATGGAAATGCGGTTAGTCGTCGGAAGGAGCAGGGTATTGGGGGGGGGGGAGAGAGGCCCCCGCCTGGAACAGCACCAGCAGAGGCGATGGCATGGCTATCCCGAG